TGATAGACGAGGAAGGCAAAGACCACCAACAACATGAAGATGGAAAACATCTGACTCTGGAGTCCTTGCATCGTGAGCGGTGAGTTGTAGAAGGACACCCCGATGAATAAGCTCTGTGCAAAGTGTAAGTTGAAGGTCCATTAGGTCGTTGACCAGTAAGCATTGAGACGTACCGTGCCACCAGACAAAACCAACTTGGAGTAAATGTACGAAGGCGTGCGCCAATACTGTTGAAAGACACGCTCAGTGCACAAGGCAAGCTGAACATGAAACGGCGCAGCATAAGTGGACATCTCATCGGGACTGGACGTCGAGCCATTCGCCGCCACGCCCTGCTCCAGACGCTCGAGCTCGCGGCGCATCTCGGCACACTCATGGCTCTCCTTCCAGGTCTCGGGCCAATCCCTCTCAGCCTTGGCGCCCGGAGCTGCGCCGATGACTTTGAGCATCCACTCGGCGGGGTTCTCGTCCTGTCCGCAGGGCGTTGCTCCGTACTGCTCAAAGTAGCTCGTGAGCACGCGGGAGTTCTCGCCAATGTCGCCAAAGTAGACTGTTTTGCCGCCATGTGCAAGGAGAAGAAGACGGTCGAATTGCTGGAATAGGAGAGCAGAAGGCTGGTGGATTGTCACGAGGATGGCCTGGCCGTTTTCAGAGAGCTTTCGGATCAGTGATGAGATTGACCATGCTGTCTGACTGTCGAGGCCCGAGGTCGGTTCGTCAAGGAAGAGAAGGAGATCAGGTTTCGCAGCGAGCTCGACGCCAATAGTCAGTCGTTTTCTCTGCTCAACGTTTAGACCTGTGGTAGCACGGATTAGCTTAACAGTCCTTGAAAATGAGGTGCAAAGACCAGTTGAGGACTTACCTTCTCCGGGTACTCCGACAATGGCATCGGCATAGGCCTCCATCTCCAGAAGCCCAATCACCTCTTCAACATAGTCGTACTTCTCTTGCTTGCTGACAGCCGCTGGCTGGCGTAGCATGGCGCTGAATCGCAAGGCTTCCCTAACAGTGGATGTCTCGAGGTGGATGTCTTGTTGCTGAACGTACCCGGCCTTTCGCTGGAAAGACTGGTCTCTGAGAACACCGTTGACGAGGATATCTCCTGTCACAACACCCATGGTCACCCTGTTAGCCAGGACATCAAGTAGAGTAGTTTTGCCAGCGCCAGTAGAGCCCTGAATCGATCGTCAGCAGAAATCCTTCTCTTGAATGGAGGTAGACTCACCATCAAAGCAGTCAGAGTTCCCGGCTTTACCCATCCGCTAGCTTTGTCAAGAATTCTGCGGTTGTTGCCCTTGATTGATATGTCGTAGCAAACATCTTTCCAGTGGAATACCGATTGGCTTTTATGAATTGCGGATTGTTTGACACCCGACTGAGGAGCATGTCCCTCGGACTTCTCATGTTGGTAAACGCCTTCAGGTTGGCCAGTCTCTTCGTCGGATGAGTTCTTTGATAGTGTCGGGACCGAGTGACCACGCCGGAAGATCAACACCTCGCCCTTGGAGCGGTCTGTGGTGATGTACTCCGCCGCGAGCAAGTAAACGCACATGAAGAAGACGATGAAGGCAATCAAAATGCCGAAGTTTCTGAGTGACACGTTAAACTTTTTTGCGAAGAACCTTTCAAAAAAACAGAACATACCTCCAAATGTGAGACTTGTAATAGCTGAAAGTGGCATTCATGTAGAAGTCACCGTCAACGAAGTCTGCACCTGGTGCAGCGCCAGCGACCGAGCACGTCCTCTCGTTTGGCGCAGCGTTCGGGTAGGCCGGAACGAATGAGGGACAGGGGAACTGCCGACCATTGAACTCATTGGCGACCAGACTCTCGAAAGCGTAGGCTATGGGGTTGATGTAGTTGATCCAGCGGAGCCATCCCTTCATATCGCGGGTCGGGAGGATGAAACCGGTGTAGATGACGAGCGATAAGATGAAGATAGCGGCTGGCGTCAAGGCTTGGTGAATGGTACGGGACGTCTGGCCGATGGTTCTGATGATCATGGACATTGAAAGTGTAGTGGTAAAGCCGAAGAGGAGGAAGATAAAAAAGGCATCGGCCTCTTGGCGGAGCTTTGCCATGAAGTAGAGAGGAATATTGAAGGCCAAGGTAGATAAAATCTTACTGGGAAGATCGCAGATCGTGGAGGAGATTGCTTCGGAGGCGGGATGGTACAGAGCATAGCGAGCGTGCTTTTCGACAATAGGTCTCTGGACGTACAGCGTGAGGATCTGATCATCACCAAATTAGTAAATCTTTCTCGTCGTAGGGCTACTTGGAGGAGAATTCGAAACATACCTCAAGAGCACTGCTGAGACCGTTGAACAAAATCGCAAAGAACAACAGAATGCAACGAGAGTTCATACTTGATGCATCGGAGGGCAGGTCGAAGAAGATGCTTCCAAGAACCAAAGAGATGACCAAGTTACCACCAATAGTGACAACGAAGAACAGCCAGTCACCCAAGAGACGCTGGTACCCACGCGTCATGCACAACCAGATTTGCATGGGCATGGAAATGGTGTAAGGTGATTGCGGAGTCCTTCTCGACTGTTAGCAGGTGATTATACCACGACCTCCTGCCTGCATCACCACTTACACGAGAGATGCTTTGTGAGCTTGGCGCGTCGCGACAAACTTTTCTTCCCCTGAGCCATCAAGAGGATGTTCCTCCTCAAAGGCAAATATCTCCTCCATAAGACTTGCCCTGACATCGCTTCCCTTCCATACTGTTGCAAACTCGTCTGGCGTTCTGGGCACTCTGTTCTCAAACCCTTCTCGCACCATTCGTTCTGCGGGGTTGGTGAGGGAAGTGAGGAAATCAGCGGTGGTTTGGCGATCGGGGCAGTGGTAACCCATGTCGACAAAGTATTGCTTCGCCAGCGCCGTGGAGCCAAAGTAGATCTGGCGACCTTCATAGAGAACCGCAACCTTATCGAATACCTAGACAAGTATGAGTCAACAACGGTATACGCCAGGTTTGGGAGGAGGTACTGACATCATAGGCTGGCTGTGAGGCCTGATACATCGCGACAACGGCCGAAGTCTTGGCCATATCGGTAGACAACCGCAGAGTCCGAGCAAACTCCAACGCGGTAGCACTATCCAACCCACGAGTGCTGTTGTCCCAGCATTGAATAGGGCTCTGGCTGAGCGTGACCTCCGCAATACTGACGCGTTTGCGCTCGCCCCCGCTGACACCTGCGAAGAGTTAGTGGAGCTTGCCTCAAAGCTGTCAAAGGCTTGAGCCACTCACCCCGGACGAAGTCGTTTCCAACCTTTGTGTTGATGGTGTGGGAGATGCCGAAAACTGCCATCACGACGTCCCGCAAGTGTTCGGCGTATCTCTGTCTGCTGACGCCAGGGAGTCGATTCTTTGGCGTTCTTGCTAGTGAGGCGAAAAGAAGTGTCTGTCCAACCGTGAGGTGGGGGAAGTGGATGTCTGTTTCGGCCTGATAAATCACTTCACCGCGGAATCGTTTGTGCATAGTTTCCATTGGGATGCCTGTTTGTGATGAATTTTGTCAGTCAGCTTTCGTGAGGACCTAGCATATAGCACCCCTAACAGAGTTTGGGAGGCATTGTTACTGACCCTGGTAACTGAAGTGTGAGTGATCCCCCAGATGAAGACCCTGAGTCTCACCAGCGATCGTCTTGAGCAAGGTAGAAACACCACTGCCGGGACGGCCCAGCACCAAGAGCATCTCACCACTATTGACGATTCCGTCAAACTCTCTCAAGATGTCAATCTTTTGGCGACGGTTGCTGAGGGCCTGCTTGATCATCATTGGTGCTTGCCAGAGGACGTTAAGGACATCCTTCTGGTAGTCCGTGTCGGTGCCGTACCCATGAACACTCAGGTTGCGATACGCGACTCCAGCTTCAAGTCTTGGGTAGTCCTCGGGATGATGATATGAGTGCTGTAGAAGGGCTCGGGCCCACTTCTTGGCGTTGAACTCTTCGCGACAGCTTGGATCCAGGGCAGGGTGGTCCGATAGGAACGGGTTGATACCAGGGTCGAGTCTTGACGCTGAGCGAATAAGATCGAGACTGTAAGGCCTGACGAGCTCGTTGACCTGGGCATCGTTGGCTTCAATGTCCATGTCATTCCTCTGGTGATCGTGTTCCTGACTGGCTTTGGCGTGCAAGGTGTCATCCGACGGTTTGGACATGACGTTGCCGCTGTCACCCTGCGGGCGATGCATCTTGTGAGTTGATTTGATAAATGCGCAACGTGCAGATAAGAAAGAACCTGAGAATCGCAGAAGAGAGGAGGCTCAAGTAACGTCACCCAACGGGGATCAATGGCAAGTTATATCCTAACAAGCTTCCCAAAAGAGGCGCCCACCTTGTTAAAAATAAGTTTTCACGTTCAACACAAGGCAGACATGTGAAAACAACAACACAGCTACGCATTTCTAACGTCAATACCTACTATCAACGGGTCGACATGGGCAGAGAGGCCCCGATGAGCAGGGACCAGATCACTAGCTTCACGTCACGCTGCCGAAGCTAACAGCTCGCGAGCCGAGCCTGATGGTCGAATTTCCATGTTTTGGCTGCATATGTGCGGCTTTGCTGATGTAGAGCAGCCGTATGAATCAAGTCGGCGCCGAGGGAGGAGGACTAACGCAAAATGAGTTGACGATGTTGACGAGAAAGCACCCACACGCGCCGCAAAGATCCTGATTGCAGATCCCGGGATGGCGGCTTTGTGAAGTGGCCCGATGCGTACGCAAAGTTGCCCGATCCGGCATCTCGGCGCCGAGGCTCTACACCCACATAGCAGTCGAACTTCTCCAAATCTCCACTCTCCTAAAAGGCAAATAAGGAGCCGAGCTCCTTTCACCATGAGCTGGATTGTCTTGGTCCCCCCGTCCCCTTGCGAACCACATCCTCGCATACTTACAGACCTCGTCTCCGACCTACTCGTCTTCGTTTCTCGGTGTTGTTTTGCTTCTCAGCCTGCATTTTCATCTCATCCTCTGCGAGCCGAGAAGATGACTGCTGATAAGCCCGCGCCCAGTCCTACGGGTGTTGGTGCTGGATCCCGAACCCACAAATCCTGCGATGCTTGCAAGTCACGCAAGGTCCGCTGTCCTAGTACGTGACTCGGGAGAGCTCATTGTCATTCCTATTCTTCATTCACGAACTGACGAGTTGATTTTATCCATAGGTAACGGCCCGCCCGGACCTTGCGCGAATTGTATCGTGAGTAAACCCAAATGGATTCTCTTCCCCGACAAAGACGTGAACGTTTACTCACAAACTTTGAAACTGGAAGCGTCGAAAAGAAGAGTGTCGCTTCAGTGTAAAGAGGCTAGCCCACAGGCGCAACGGTAAGCACTGGCAACTGAACACCCACCATATCACGTTTACACTCCTTTGATGAGCAAGCACAACAACTCCGGTCGATTTCTGTGGCAAAGGATTTCACAGTACTAAGTAAACTATCAGTTGCCGGACAGCTTCTGCCAACAAATTATTCGCCATCGAGCAATCGACCACCCAGTCTCCCAGACGCCAAAGCCGTGCTAGACTTGTCGACATCAGATGGAGAGACCAAGCCACTCGTCCTCCCTGATCGCACGTCGCCAAAGTCTCCTCCCCACCGCATCCAAGAACTCCACGTCGATCGCGTCCTAGCACGAGCACAGAGGCCAAAGACCTCTACTGGAAGAGGCCAGGAGGAAACCATGTTTGTACCAGTAAGCACCACTAGTCAAAATTCCAAAGCAATTGATCGCAGAGGTGAGCGAACTGTAAGCTGACAGAAATCTCACAGCGCAATGGCATATTTGGTATTGAAGCGCCACATGCCCTCAGTGGCCTGCACGTACTAACAGATCAAGGGGGCCGGAACAGCCTCACGTTCTTCTCCGACAACAGGCTACTCTCCCTGTCGACGCGCCTCCAGAATCAGAAGGTGAACGAGCTCGTTGGTCGAATTTCTGTCATTGTCAATGGACGTCTTCGTCGCACCGACTCGGCAGCGACGAATCCCCGGAAAACGCAACCTCCCGATATGGGGACCGACAGAGCGCGTGCCGCCTTGTACATCCGCCGTAATTATTTGCCATTCCCCCTTCTATAACCCCCCATTGAAGTCGGTGAAAGCTGATTATGATCAGTCTACTTTGAGCGAGTGCATCCCATGTTCCCGTTCCTTGACCGGACGACTTTCGAGACTACAGTGTCAAGTCCCAACTTCCCCAATCTCCTCGAACGCAGCAAGCCATGGTGTTGTCTCTACCACAGCGTCCTTGCTCTAGGGTCCCAGTATGCTGATGGGGGGACATTCGAGCCTGGTAAGGGCGAGTCGTGGCGGCTGTTCTCTATCAGCTTGAGCGGCTTCTCGGAGCTCCTGCTGCTTCCTGATTCTCTCACCACCTTGCAGGCATTGACGGCCATGTCTGTCTATGGCTTAGGGATCTCGGGCTTGGCTGTTGAGCCTGTCATCATGTCAGAGGCGGCAAGACGGGCTCAGATGATGTCCAGTCATAGCTTTACTGGTCCAACGGCTCACGCTTACCAGAAGTCTTTCTGGATTCTATATGCGGTTGAGAAAATCACCAGCTTCCACTTTGGGAGAAGTTCCGTAAGTGCTTGGAATTTCCCTCTCTTTACCACGATAGCGTCATACTATGATGGATGCACACTTCTTGTTTACTTGCTCTGCACTGCTGACAACGACAAGGGATTCGTCGATAGCGACATATCCTGTCCCATCCCCGTCGTCCCCGAAGCAACGTCGGGAGACTTTAGCTGGTTCCTGCACCTAGTGCGTTTCGCTCGCCTCCTTTCTCGAGCATATACATCACTCTTCTCGGTCGGCGTGTCGGGCAACTCCGACTCGTACTATCTCGACGTGATTGACCAATTAAACGGTGAACTCGAAGAATGGAGAGCATCTCTGCCAGACAATGGCTTCCGCCCGGGTGGAATTCTACGCCCTCAAACCGTATCCGGTCCTAATGCGAGATCACTCGCTCTCATTCTTCATTATCTTTACTACAGCATGTTACTGACTCTTGCGAGAACTACGCTGTGCTATTTGCCTGTCCCTGAGACGCCGGCGGTGAAAGCGACAAAGGACGACAAGATGAAGACCATTTTGAATGCATCGAGGGCAATTTTGGAGTTGACTACGATGATTGAAGTTGAGCCATACACGGTCACATGGTAAGTAGAGAGCGAACTTCGAACTGCACCCGCCGTTATCATCAGATCGGTGCTGACAGCCCGTAAGGGTCCTTGCGGGAATCCCTATTACCGCACTTTTTGTCTTATTTGACCTTGTGATTCATGATCCTCGGCAGCCAGATACAGGCACCAATCTGGCTCTGCTCGACATGGTTGCTGGTCACTTCAGTCGGATAGAGTATGCCAGCGGCGGCACCGTGCCCGGTTCCTTGATAGCCGAGTTCGCCAAGATTGCGCGAGACTACGTGAACGAGATTCAGCATGCCGAGGCTGGTTTGATGAATCCCGCGAGACCACATGCACCCACAAATCCTTCCACGATGCAAATGGTACAGCAATCGTCAGAGCTTGATGCCAGAAACAATAAACAAGTGGATAGGCCAACTCAGATGACTTTGGATCTATCTGATGTAAGTTCTCGGCCTCACAAGGTCTACCATTCGTCAAGGAAAAAAGCGTCTAATCATCATCTGCGTTAAAAGACTCTGCCGAGGGAGGCCATGATGTCTGGTCCGATGCAGCAACCAGGATACACCGACTTTGCGTTCGACAGCGGGATGGGCCAGGTATCTCCTAGTGCGCTCATGGGAACCGACGTGATGGGAATCTTTAATTATTTCCTGCCCGATCTGGACCCGATGTTTTACCAGGGTATGACGCAGGAGTACGATCTGCTACCACAGCAGCATGGAGGGACCGTTCAGAGCATGGACAAGTGAGATGATGCGGACGGGGTCCAATTCTTAATCTCCGTCCGTTTGCCAGGCCGGATGCAGCATGACATAACCTTATTTTTGGAGCTATAATAATGCATGCCCCCAACGGATACTAGCAGCTACCTTAGTTGCTACGCCCGGCAGTCGAGATCGTTGCTAGGCATAATGACGAAATGTTTATGAAGAACAAAATCGAACGTTCGCTGGAGCAACCCTCCAGGATGAAAAAGCAGGTAAGACTGCGTGTGTGTGTGGGTGGGAGATCACTTGTTCTTCGGTGGCAGTGAGCTCCGGGATCCCGGGCTTCGCTCCGGTCCGCTGCAAGGATCAGCCGGGTCTCGGACGGTCCAATGCAGCCTAGCGTCTCCTCCAAAGTCCGTTTGGTGGATCCCCAAATGTCGTGGCCCCCTGTCTTTTTTCCCGCAGAAAAGCGGCACGTTTAAAAGAGTGTTGCCGCCAACAGAGCAGAGCTTGGAAGAGAAACATATCATGCGATGAACGACAACAACTCATACACTTCTCTAATCTCTGACGAGCCCCATATTCTCATCTGTAGATCTTGATGGCATCCGAAAGCCCAGCTTCACAGGCGAGTACTCCGGTAGGCGACAAACCACGCAACGTCTTGGCCTGCGTCTTTTGTCACCAACGCAAAATCAAGTGTGACCGAAAGTCCCCCTGCGCCAACTGCATAAAGGTTGGTTTGTCATCATCTCACTCACCCTTCAGCCGATGGGCCCGAGGTCTACGCACCCACACCGAGGCGCAATGCATACTCACTGATGTGATCACGATAGTCTGATCAACCGTGCGTGCCATCGACGCGAGCACCACCAGGAGCTGGTAGAAGACGCGTGGTGAAGGACCTGTTGGAGAGATTGAATCAGTGTGAGAGTCTTCTGAGCCAGGTGGCTCCGCGCGATGCCGATGGCCGCCCCGTAAATCCCGACACGCCGGGTTCCTCACGCGATGTGGCGGACAGCCCGGCAATGTCCCACATAAGCTACGAAGAAGCCCGGAAACAACCCAGCTCGAGACCGAATGGCAAGATTGTCTGTGATGAAGGTCGACCAACATTTATGGAAAATCCGTTTCGCGGCAATGTTCTTGACCACGTAAGTGCACTGTATTTCGATCAAATCATAAGTCCCACCCCAGTAAAGATCTAAGTGGAATCTAGCTTCAATTCTCCAAGCTCAGTCTCGAAGACAATGACACCGAGCAATCAACGAACCCGTCTGGTTCGACTAGCGTCTCAGAACGCGGCGACTCAATTCACCAAAAGTCTATGGACTTTGACATATTAGCTCTGGGACCAGTCGAAGTTCTGCGCCTGTGGCAGGTATTCCTGGAACGAGTCAACCCTATGATCAAGGTCATTCACGTACCTAGCCTGGAACCTCTAGTCTTTGAAGCAGCAACAGACCGCTTCAACCTGAGCCCCGACCTCGAGGCCCTGCTCTGCTCCATCAACGTTGTTGCAATCATGGCCTTGTCGGAAGCGGAATCAATCCAGATGCTCAAACTCGAAAAGGCAAGAGCATTACGAAATTCAATGTCTGCACTGAAAAAGGCCATGTCCAAAGTGGACTTTTTACGAAAGTACAATATGACCACTTTGCAGTGCTTAGTGCTATACCTGGTAAGATGTCAGTCCCACACAAGTATGACTCTGATCTAACTGCAGGCTAGGTGTCACTTCAGGGGCAATTCGATCGCCACGCCGCATGGGTGTTGACCGGCATGCTAGTCAGGATAGCTCAAAGGATGGGTCTTCATCGCGACGGAGAACTCATAGGTCTTCAACCATTCGAGACCGAGATGCGCCGCCGAATCTGGTGGCAAATCATCATGCTAGAAACAAAATACGCCGTCCTCGCAGGCTTCGGCGACACGCTCCTCCCGCCTAACTGGGATACAAAACTCCCATCGAACGTCAACGACGCCGACTTACTGCCCGGCTCAACAGAGCCGGTCAAGTCTCGCGATGGAGCAACCGAGATGGCATTCTGCCTCATGCTCTATGAATCACGCGCCTTCTTCTGCGACAATCCCATGCCGGAGTTCGAATCAGTCATCCTCAGCGGGGACAAGATCAGCCCGGAGAACTCAAGGAAATTCTCCGGTCAACCACATGTCCTCGACAGGTATCGACTCGCGTTAGATCAATACGATGAGAGACTCGCTGTGGCCGAACGACGGTTCTGCAACCCGACGGCAGGCGGCATACATCTCGTTGCGAGTAAGATCCGGTCTTTCACGGCGCAGAGGATGCGCGACATGATTATGCACGCGCGAGAGCCATGGGACGAGAACAAAGACGGCGGAGCGAGCCAGCAATCCTTCTTCAGAGCATGGGTCATTTCCTTCGAGAGCGACGTTAGCTGGTACGACACGATCGACGACAAGTTCACCTGGTACCTAAAACTCCATTTTCAATCTGACGCTTTCTCCGTCATGATTGAGCTCCTACAGTGGCAGCCCGTCGGAACACTGGTTGACAGGGCATGGAAGGCCATCGACCGACTCTATCACCACCACCCGGAGATGTACGACTTGACTAGGAAGGACAACTTGCTGCGCGCGGAAAACTTGCTTGCAGGGTGGGCACGACGGGAGCTTGCGTTCCGAAATCTAGGCATGTCGTGTGACACGCCGCTCGTTGTGGCACGGTTCCGGAGCAGCGAAGTTTTCAAGCAGAGACAGCCCGGCGGTTTGCCAGTTGAGCAGTGGCCGGCACCGACGCCGGACACCGCGCTGTTCTCTGACATGAGTCCATCCGACTTTGAGACGTTTGATGGCGGGGTGCCTGGAGATACTCATGGTCTTAACTTCAGTCTTTGGGGTGGTGGTGGGCCGGGGCAACATGCTCTATGATGAAGGTCCGGCTGGTTTATGGGTAGTAAATGGCTTGGGGAAAGGGGGTTGTGCGTTTCAAGCACACGACCATGACTTAATGACACTGAAGACGGCTCAAGGGTAGACTGTACCCAATAAGGAGTTTATCCCCTCAATTCAAGGGTCTTTAGGGCTCTTGGAATATCTTCGAATCACCTCTCAAAATTCACGGATAGATGTTTTGTACTTGCTCTGGCCTGGTTTATCGAGATGCTATAGCAAATTTATGCGCGGGCTTCACGCGCAACTGGCTTCAAGTAGACATTCAGCGGTATTCTATCCCACAAACCAAATGCTCTTTGCCTCTGAATCCAGGACCCGTTTCCTTCGGCCAGTTGAAGATCAAAGTCAAAAACGATTCGGGCTAAAATCAACCTCATCTCTGCATACGCGAGACTGTTTCGCATAGGTTTCAGCGTCAGCGGCGATAATGGTTCAATATATAGATGAGTAGTTCTTACTTCTTCCCAATGCAGTTGCGTGGGCCAACGCTGAATGCTTGAAGTGCGTCTAAATGGTTGTGTTCCTCTTTGTTGGTTTCCAGGAAGCGCTCCGGCCTGAACTCCCAGGGCTTGGTCCAGTTATCTAGACTATGGTTTGCGGACCATTGCTGGATCTCGACGAAAGTCTTGGAGGAAAGTCTGGATTAGTCTCCTGATGGGAACCTCGAAAAGGAGAGTTGGTGCACAAGGCTACTTACTCCTTGAGGCACATGCTCTGCACCAATCTGACACCCAAACTCCGGTACCTCTCGAATGAGGTTTGACGTCACGGGAGGATACATACGCAAAGCTTCATTGAGAACAGCGAGCATGTATGACAACTTGCTCACTGAGTTGATGGTGATCTCGCTAGAGTCGCTAAAGCTCGATCGGACCTCCTCGTTAAGTTTCTGCAGGACCTTGGGATTTCTCAACAGAAGATATGTTGTGCCGGCCAGAGTTGTAGCCGTAGTTTCCGAACCGGCGAGGACGAGAATGAGACCATTAGCTGACAGCTGCTCAAATGAAAGGTTCTGTGCACACAAAGTTAGCGTAAATTCACCTCCACGAGGAGTGGCTTTGGGGGGCCACATTCCCATTCTTCTTTCTTTCTCAAGAGTCCCTCGAACAAATCCTTCCGGTCAGGATCCATATCAAGACGCGTTTGCATCATCTTATCGGTGCTCTCACGTAACTGCATCATCGCAGCAAGACCACCGATCCGGAAGAGGCCTTGGACAACAGGATCAAGGCCAATATACTTCATCGCTGTCATGATGGCATTGTATCGGATAGTTTTGAAGATGAAGGCAATCCAGGGATGGTAGTCTGAGCGATCGAGACAGCCAAACGATTGCGCAAAGATTAGGTCGCCGGCAATATCGAACGTTGTCCAGTTATACCAAGCCTCCACATTAAGCGGCGCTTCTTTCCCGTCGCAGTTCTCATGCAAGCGAGAAATCAGTTTATCGATGTACTTCATGATAATGCCTTCTTGCGCTCGCATAGAGCTATCCGAGAAGCCATGAGATAGCGCCCGCCGGTACCGCTGGTGCTCTTCACGCTCGGCATTGATGATGCTCGTGGGCAAATTCTTGATCGTCGTTGAGAAGAGCTGCGACTTGGGGATCTCGTTTTCTGCCAGCTCTTTCCCGATTTGAAAGCCGTAGATGTCTTTCCAGGCCGTCACATCGGTGAAAGACAGGTGATTTGGGCTGATTCGGACTATGGGGCCATATCGGTCGTGGAGGAGCTGGGTTCGAAAGGCTTGATAGCCTGTGGCATGTTGCCAGGCCCAGATTAGAGGAGAAGCGCGTTGAAGGACAGGTCCTGGAAACCTTCGTAGGGGATGGAGGAAGAGGTTGTAGCCGGCTAGGAGGAGTTGCCAGAGGACGGCCTGGCAAGTCAGCCATGTGATTCCTCACTGAGGATATGATCTACTCTAATCTTGTATAGGAATGCTAGTCACTTACTGTACCAAAGGCAATAGCCAGGATATGAGAAGGATGCTCAGAGAGAATGGACAAAACACCCGCCATTTCCGTAGTCAAATCTGGAAGGGTTAACTTCTCAAGTTCTGTGATAATCTTCTTGCATCAACGAGAAACATCAACCCCGCGTTGGCGTTGACGCGTCGTTTATGTAGATTCATCCCGAGTACGAGCCTTTCCGAGCTCCGCCCCTGGTGACAAACACGTTCGCTTCTTGCCCAATGCACACACCACTTGGTTCTGCGTCAAACAATCAGTCACCTTCCATTAAGGGGACGGGCTCTGCCCTAGGCGCAAAAAGTTTGGGGTCATCGGACGGTTGTTTCAATACCACGTTTCTTGCGCGGACCAATCCACTGTCCGGCTTTGTCACATTCATGCATGCAGCAACCGTAAATATGCACGGGGGAGGTTGAGACGGTTGGCCATCTGCCAGTGTTACTCCGCATTGGTGTTGCACGACTTGATGTCCTGGTCATTGCCTTCCAGCATGGGGCACTCGTAACATTGTGGAATCAACGACAAATGAGAGTGATTGCGCAAAGATGGCAAGCAAATGAAAGGCATAAGTTGGAGATTCTTGCGCTCTTGAACGATTAGTCGACTTTCAACAGAGCTTACAAGCCCCAGACTTGATTACTTTCCCAGTGCGAGATGACAGAAGGCAAAGACACATGGAGATCCTCCCGCGGCTGGCTGATCCTTTTCTTATCCTAGCTTCAGCCGTTAGGATCACTGAAGTTGATGTCATTCTTGATTGACAACTTACCAGTCGCCTATCAAAACTCCGAGATGACAGTGCCAGCCCCCTTCTTCTCCGCAATATCCAGAATAGCCGTCCCGATAGCCAGATCCGTCGTACTGACACCGATACTTTTGTAGATGATCAAGCCATCCTCCAATGTCGATAGCGATTCCAGCTTCTCCCCTCGTTTCCGTGAAATCTCGATTTCTCCAATCTCCACTATGTACTCTGCCGCGAGTTTGCTCTGAACGATTTCGCCAGAGTGCTTAAGCGCAGACTCGCGGTCGTCGACTAGCACGGCAACCTTTGAACCTTGTTCGCGGAGTTTCCCACCAGCGGCGTTGGTTGCCTGGACGAGCAGTTCTGGGTCTACTTCCAACATGTCCGCCTGCCAGGACCCGACGGCAGAAATGTATGGATTTCTTTCCTTTCTTCCGTTTGTGACATAGTGTGCCGGAAATACTGGGCTTTTGGTGCCGACTGTGCAGAAAATGGCGTCTGCTGCAGCGAGACGATACTGAAGTTGAGCGTCATACTCGGAGCTAGAGGAACTCAGATACTCAAAGTCGGCGGTAGACTTCCAACGACCTTGGTTCTCCTCCTTCAATCTCGAGATGAGCTGCTGTGCGCGCTCCGTGGATCGATTCGCCACGGTGATAGTCTTGATCTCGTCGCCCCTCAATGATAACGCGAAGCGAAGATGCCACAACGCTTGCTTGCCAGCACCAAACACAACAATGTTATCAGTATGGCTCCGCCATAAGTACGGCACAATGGCAGAGAGCGCCGTGCGATATCCTGTAACCTCTTCGGCGTTGATAACGCCAAGGGGTAGGCCGTCCTTGTCGCAAATGGAGATAATGCCGTGCAAGCTGTTAGCTGCTGGGGATGAAGGAGCCGGGGTGACGACGATCTTAGTTCCGAAGGCACCGGCGGAGCTGAAAGGTCGGAAGAGGCATTTCATGCCCTCAGGTCTGTTCACTATCGATGCATCGGGCTGATAGTCGCGCTCCGCGCCCTCAGAGAGCTCTATCAGCGCTCCCACAAGCCGATCTCGGAGCTGGAGAATGCCACTTCTTGGAAGGTTGAGCAGAATATCGAGAACAGCGGCGTCGCTGAGGACTCTGAAATTACCCATGGTGAATGGTGAATAAGATGCTCAGGTTTACAAAAGGCCGCTGAACAGTCAAGATCGTGAGGGGGTCGTAGTGTGGAGAAGTCTCGCGAAAGAGGCACGGATACTAGTATGTTGACAGTGACAAGACCTTATCAGCAGCTTGTCACCTCTTGATAGTCAGTTGGGTCACTGCGATAACATATGTGAGTAGACGCATCGACAGTCTCCGTAGTTAGGCGGGTTACGGCAGTTTAGTTTGTCTTCAACCGTCAGACTCGGCGAGACCTACCGGATTAATCCCACCGGCACGGCATCCGATGCGGGGAAATGGGTCGCTGCGGCGGTTAGCTGAGCCGCTCGACGGGGTCCGTTGTGGGCTCCAGTTAACCGATTGCGAGCGGGTGATACGAAAGTCCAGGTGTAATACGAGCCGGTTCCTACTCCGTCAACGAGCGTCCGTTCCGTCTCACCGGCACATGAACCGTTCAATTCATTTTCCATGCGTTTGTGAATGAAATGTCTATCGGCCATGAAGCCTATTAATACCTATTACGCAGTACCTACTTATAGGTTTGACTAGATCGTGAGTCTATTGTTCTTCTCAACTAGGTATCATCTCTTGAACCATCACACCATGACTATCGGCCGTACTTTCAACGTCGTCGGCGCCCACTGTGGCGGCGAGGTCTGCGACGTCATCGTTGGGGGTGTTCTCGACGTCCCAGGCAAGACAATGTTTGAAAAAATGATGCATTTCTGGAAAAAGGCAGACCACCTACGAAACCTGCTGATGAACGAACCCCGCGGCTCATCATCCATGTGCGTTAACCTCGTCCTTCCACCGTGCAATCCCGAAGCCGATGCGGGCTTCATCATTATGGAGCATGAGGAGTACCCCCCTATGTCCGGTGCCAACACCATTGCCGTGAGCACCGTCCTGCTAGAGACCGGCATGGTACCGATGCAGGAGCCTACTACGACACTGCGCCTGGATACGCCAGCAGGTTTGGTCACGGTCAAGTCCGAGTGCAAGGACGGCAAGGTTACGTTTGTGGAGTTTCAAAACGTTCCGGCTTTTGTCTATGGCCTAGATCTAGACATCAACGTGCCGGGCTTCGACACGCCCGTCAAGGCCGACATTGCATGGGGTGGAATGTGGTATGCGCTGGTCGACGCGAGCTCAGTAGGCCTACAGATCAAGACGGAAAATGGAAAGGAGTTAGTCGACATCGGCGAGCGAATCAAGAGGGCTATCCAAACGCAGACGAGCCCGGTGCATCCCGAAAACCCAGAGATCCGAGGCGTCAGTGTCTTCGAGTTCACGGACCCGCTCTCGCCCTTGGCGCCGGACACGCAACAGACGGCCGTGAACACGGTGGTCGTATCACCGGGAAGACTCGACCGGAGTCCGTGTGGGACAGGAACGTGTGCCCGACTGGCGGTTCTCCATAAGAGAGCCCAGCTCGCAGTCGGAGGATCGTTCCGACACCGCAGCGTGATTGGGACCGAGTTTATCGGAACGGTAAAAAGTGAGGCAAAGGTCGGGGACTACGATGCTATTATTCCCGTGGTGAAGGGAACTGCCTGGATAACGGCTTTCAAGCAAGTCATCTTGCACCCAACAGATCCATTCCCGGAAGGGTTCAGGGTTGGAGATAAGTGGCATGTCAGTTAGAAGATTCATGTCCCGTAGATCTTGGCTACTTTTGTGAATGTTATTTAAGTGATCAGCACAAGTCATTTCACCCTGTTTTTCTCCAAGGAAGGTTTCTGTTTCAGCCTTCTCCAACACACTCGATCCGCATTTCTGCCCGTCCTAATGTAGGTCAGGGGCGCAGTTACATATTGAAGCCACAGCTAAGCCGGGATATCCTACAGGCATGTCACAACATATCGAGGTCCAAATTATCCAGGAATAGAACTAGTGGGTATATTTCAAAACGCGTGGATCTAATTGGATCGTTCTCACGCGGACAAACTTGCTCGCCTAACCCATTTGATCATGCGAACATGAGGCTTAATGGGCCGAGGACACAGAATTCGAGTTGTCGGCGCAGGAAAATGCGGCCGATCCACCAGACTTCTTGTAGCTGTCCATGATTCCAACAACTGAGCCGTACGCTCCAGCAATCATCAAAAAGGTGCCGCTAATAACAACGAAGCAGCTGAAGCAGACCATGGCGATCCATCTAGGTCTCTTCTCGAGCTTTCCCTCGGCCCAATGGTCGTACAACCACATGCAACCCATGGGCTGGAAAGACAACAGAGTACCGAAGAGGGCACCGACGAGGGCTACCAGGCCATCAAAGACGGGGATGGAGCTGGCAATGACATAGGCGGTGATTGCGATGCTTGCAGTGCAGGCGAGCCAGATACCCCAGTGCTTCATGGTGTTCTCGGTCAAGTGACGGGATCCACGGAGCAGGCGAATGAAGATGTACTTGGCGGGCAACTGAGAACACAAACGTTAGCATTGATGCTTGTTGGTAACCGGGTTGTAAGTTTGGAATTTACTTACGTGGATAACCAGAGTAGTGGTAACAATCAAGCCGGGGAAGGCAAGACCGTAGCAGACTCTCTTCATGGTCGCACCGGCGGAGCCAAGAGCAGGCGAGGCGACGTAAGAACCGCAGAAGTAGTAGACAACGCATCCGATGGCAATGTAGGTGGCAGTCACACCACCCTGGCAGATGACCAGAGCACGAGTGTAGTGGCGAGGATCGCGCATCTCAGAGACGATGGAGAAGAAGGCAGGGGTACCGGCGAAGGCAAAGACGAGCGTCGAAAGCGCCGAGGAAGCCTGGGCGAAGGTCGGGCTTCCGACGACCTTGTAGTCCGAGGTCCAGTGTCCAGTCTGGGGAGCGGCAGCCGGCCGGTCCTGTACACCCACGGCAACGGTGACGGTGAAGACTGCGTATGCATGGTCAGCTTCTGAATCTGGAATTTCCTCCAAAGGTGTTTAGCGGCACTCACTGGCAGACATGATGCAGATGAGACCGACCCAGGCGAACCAGGTAATCTTTCCGAGGGTCTGGATGCTACCGAAGCAGAACCCAATCGCTGCGGCAATGGCGACGAAGCCAGCCGTGCAGGCACCGTGAAGGGAAACCGAGTTGAGCGCGATCGAGGCACCTAGCATGCCAGAGCCGGCAACGAAGATCCAGTCTGATCGGGAGAGAGTGGTTAGTCCCTGAGTTACCTTTCCAACGATTGATAAACTCACAAAGGCAGAAGACGATGCCAAAGAACTCGCGACCCACGCGGCCAAAAAGAAGGCGTCCAACATCGTCGATACCGTAGACCTCGGGGTGGCGAAGCTTGAAGACACCAACAATGTAATCGGACCACGTGGTGATAGCGGCAATGCAGCACAGAGCAATCACACCAGGCACAATTCCGAGGACGTCAAAGACACCGGGAATGGACAAAACTCCCAGGCCGATCTGCGTCTTCATCATCAAGGCGACTGTTCCTTTCCAACCAACCTAATTGAGGAAATTAGCATCCGAATGGAGGCTTAGGCATTCCAAGCCGAAAAGTTTTTCCAGATTGCTCCTTACATTGCGGTAGTTGGGGCCGCCCTCTTTAATTTCACCAAAGACAGCATCGTAAGACGCGTTCGGGTCTTCCAAGACCTGGCCTTGTTGCGAATGTGTTGAGACGGGTCCCAACGCCTCAACATCCTCCTTGTTCTTCTGCGTCATCTTGGCAGTTGATGAAGATATTTTCACGTGATGTTGGTTCGTATGCGGTCGATCAGACAAATGTGACTTTAAAGTCTTTAGAGACACAGGTCACACGCGAAGTGGGAATTGTCGTCGAGATGATCTTTTAGACTAAGGTACTGAGTCCGAGTTGGAAGGACAACCGAATTGAAGAGTCAAGAGTTGTTGTCGTTGGTGATAGTCGTTGACAGCTCAAGACGAGGAATGAGTGGCCAAGCAAATGTTAATATGCATTGACACTGAAGCGAAACTGGTAGCTCACTAGAGAGATTGATAGCTTAGAGGCATGATGAGAAGACCCATTCCCAAGTTGGGACTGGGAATGATGCGCTTTTGTACAAAACCAGTCCAAGCGCGGCCTTCTCTACAGCCTCGAAGTCCCAGCCAGGAGGAAAAGCCGGCAAGGGCTGCCAAGATTTCCCTCTCTATCAGCCTGACAGGCTTCCTCCTGCAAGAGGTACCAGATAGTCTGCTATCGCTTGAGTTAGATTACGCACCGGTTAGGTAGAACATACCCCATATTTTCCCCAGACTGCCTTTCAACGGGGGGCTCCTACGTCACAGCGGGACGATTTCTTTCCCAAGGGTTCAGGGGGAGAGAAATGACTCGCGCGGCATTTCTCGGTGAGTTGCCTAGGTACAGACCACAGCACGCGGTATTACTGCACGCGTTTGCACAAAAAAAGTGTTGGCGTGGAAAATATGCCGCACTAGGGTTGATAACTCGACCGACATGGGATGGCCGGGTGCCATCCCGATATCTCCTTCCTAATCATTAATGCTCGCGGTGTTGTAGTCGATGTTTTCACCTGATATCTTGTGTATCTTCAGCTGAGGGAAGCCAACATTCCACTACCTCGCGCCGCACGCCTGTGGGATGGGATATCGGACGGAAAGGCCGGATAAGAGTTGTCCAGGCCCATAGCCGCACATTCGGAACTTCGCAAAACGCCGTAAAGAGTCAAATGCAATCGTGGACAGTTGTGGTAACACGAAATGGGCCAATTCTTTTGCGTCCCTTGTCCAGAGACAAAAAGTCGCTTTTGCCGTACAAAATCGCGCCGTCGCGAACGCTTACCCGCTCTAGCGCATACAAGCGGAGGCGCCGTCGGCACGACTCGCGGTCAACTTCCTCTTAGCAAGGATTCTTTCGCTGCGTATACCCCTGCTCGAGCGGAGCCTCCGTTTCAAATTCACACCATCGGATGCTCACCCGGTAAACCTCCCGCCCCATCTTGACGAAGTCGGGAGGTCATCCCGATGGCAGCGAGTTGACTTGCCCCCTTCGAAATCAAGTTCCTCTCGTGTCTCGCACACGCCACCGCGCCACCACAAAACCCGGCACATGATGGAGGGCGTGAGACTCGAGACTCCAGTCCAGAGCATGGTCCTTCCCCAAAGTCAAACTTCACGATGAGTTTCTCTTAGTCACGCGTGCAGCACTAACGTTGCCGATGATGGGGATTCAAGCCTCGAGACGTTGGGTTGACTTCCGCTTCCCCATGGGGAGAGGGAAAGACCACATGAGATGACGATTGCATCAACTCCGTTGGCAATTGGAACTCCTGGGGATCCATAGTGCTACCACCATGAACCTAGAGACACGGAGTTTGAGATTCTTCGGATGGCGGGAAAACCTGCATTTCGGCGACAAATTAGCCATCATTCGACAATCACTTGGGCCCCCAAAAGCTGCATCAGACTAAGGTGCTTTGTATTCGGGAGGCCCGTAATTACTGATCGACTAGCACAGAGCATAAGGTATGACAGCAGGTAATTGACAAGCTTGACCAGAGTTTCTCGGGCGTGAAACACAGAGCACAGCCTTCAGCCCTCTTTCTCGGTGCTTTACTATCTAGAGACCCACGAGCTATTGATAGCATGGGTAGAATCTTCCGTCTTGGTCACTTTGTATCGTCGTATCCCCTGCAGTCATGGAGGAGAATGCTTCTGTCAGAGCTTGTTCCCCATTGGCAGATGCCCGGGATTCCCGCCGACGGGCAGATACCTATCAAGACAACACGACGACTCGACGCAACCATGCATGCGAGGGACGCATGTAAGGTTCCCAAAGTTTGTAGTGTATCTCATGTGGCATCCTTCTGGAACGCCTTAGCCTTCATCCAACGCGGCTACTATCAACACGGCATGTGTATGGAGTATGGTATCTCGTAGCCAAGTCACTCCGCAGGCTGCCCAGCGTTCCGGCATCGGTCCTAGTCTACAACTCTTGCATATCTTAGCTACTACTTAGTATCCGTACAGAAACCGAACACCTACTTATCGCCGGTGCCATCTCGTGACATTTTCCCGAGACTAAGATAGATGCAGATAAGCCGTGCCCCCCTGGCCCGAGAGCCCAGAGCCCCATCAATTCGGTTCCACCAGGACCACTACCCCGCGTTCTCCTTCAGCAAAAAAACGTCACATCACAGTTGAGGCTCGCCGGGACCATACAGCAGAGCACGCGATTTCCGCAGCCAAAGAACACTGACAACCCTTTTATGCCTGTCTAATTGCTCCATTCTCTACCTGGAAGCTCGAGTATAAGCCTTCCTGAACAGTGAAATGGAACCTGGGGCCGGCCGAAACAAGGTATCCAAGCGGTCGTCGAATGCGTAAGTTTGTCCGAGCCAACCACACATACCACATCCTCCCTCCCTTGTCAATTGGCCGCGGTTGCGTACGACTAACACACTTGGATATCTAGCTGTGTGCGTTGTCGTCGACAGAAAATCAAGTGCTCAGGATCTCAGCCGTGCGATGCATGTGGCAAGCGCAAACAGTCCTGCACCTTTGACGAAAGGGATCAAAGAATCGTCGTCACCAGAGGGTAAGTAATCGGGCCTGGCCTTTCCTACCAACGATGAGATCTAGGCATAAGTCCGGCTCACCATCCGTGTTCTAGCTACATCATCGACCTTCAACAGAGAATTGAAAGGTGGGAGCGGAGCCGAAGCACCAATGAGCCAGCCCAAGTGTCAATCGAGGGCGGCCAGCGTCCCGATAAAGCAGGAAACAGTTGGTTATCCCTAATTATCTTACTTTGCGTTGCAGAGAACATGTCTGAGCTGACAGTAGGAGATGAGAGCGACGGTGATTTGCCCATGAGGGATGAATCAGATGGCCCGATCATTGCAGATGGTACGCATGAAAAGGAAAGTCAGGAGGCTCGGCCTAAAGCGCCAATAGATCCTGTCGCGTCGAACCTCATCAACCCTCTGTCTACTGGACAGTCAGAGTACACAACAGCGCCAAATGGAAGGCTGTGTAAGTCATTTATAGTGCAGCTCACCACGTTGATAGCAATGAAGCCTAACAAGAGGACAGTCTACCTGGGCACATCATCCAACTGGTCTTTTACCCGACGAGTCCTCAACATCACACACCAATACGTCCACAAGACCCCATTGCCGACCAACGCTCTTCTCTTTGATGGCACGACGTACGTCCTCGATTGGGATGGCTACAGAGCAAGCGAAGTCCCCGAGATGCCAGCTCTTCCCACACAAGACTATGCCATCTATCTGGTCAACGCCGTCAAGTTCCACTGCGGCCAAATGTTCCACCTTTTTGACGAAGAAACGTTTATGAAGTCCTTGTACAGCTTTTATTCTGACCCTAATCCCAGACCCGATCCTACTGATCCGTGGTTCATTCATTTCTTGCTCATTCTTTCTTTCGGAAAAGCCTTCACCACCAAGACCAACAGGGGGAACAGACCTCCTGGCCATGACTTCTTTGTCAAAGCTATGCAACTGCTCCCAGACTTTAATGTTTTACTGAAGAACCATGTTCTGTCAACAGAGATCATGTGTTGCATTGCTCTATATACGCAATGCATCGACTTCAGGCACTGTTCATACAACTATGTAAGTTTTTCCCGTAATCCTTAATATTATACATTATACTAATGGTGAACTACCGATCGGTCAAGCACTTCGCATAGCCCTTGGAGAGGGGATGCACACAGACATGCCTGTGCAGCGACTAGGAGAGGCATATGTCGAAAGATGCCGAAGGTTATGGTGGACTGTACACATCCTTGACCGGGAGATCACATCGTTGTTTGGCATGCCGCCTTCAATACATGACGACTATGTGCTCTGTCAACTACCAACCTACTCTGGTTCAGTTCAAAGGACAGCCGCGTTACGAATGCGTATCAGACTGTCGAAGGTCATTGGGAGCATTAACAGGAGTATGTGCGATCCTGTTGAAGCCCGCTTTAAGAGATAATGCTAACCGCTATGCCAACTAGAGGTCTACGGTCTCGACGGAAGACTCAACAACAAGTTCATGCTTGGCACCAAAGAAGTGCTTGCCAGCGTGGCTGAGATTGCTGATGAGCTCCAACAATCGTTTGCGCTGCCTCTGGAAAGGGACACCAGCTGCATTTCGAGAACATCCGCCCATTTGCATTTATTGCACCATCAGGTATGTCTAGTTCAATGCAATACTCAAAACGGCACTGGAAACGAACTAAGTTGGCTGTAGTGCATTGTTCTTGCAACCAGACCGCTGCTTTTCTGTTTTCTGAAAATTCGTTTTGAATCACAGAGTAAATGCACAGAGCTATTGGGGTCTTCGCAGACGGTCAGAAATTTGATTCAGATGTGTATCGATTCTTCTCAACAAATGGTTTCGATCCTAGACTGTTTGCAATCTCAGGGGTTGCTGGGTAAGCCATCTCCAAGATTAATTGAAAATCACGTTCTTTTACATAAACCAGGCTAACTTTGCATCTTGCAGAAACATTTCTTCCATTCGACTTGGAAGCCAGTTTCGTGTCTGCTAGCAGTCTACTACTAGGACCCGCAATCGACCCACAATGCTTTGAGTGCCTCGACCCGTCTCTGGAGAAAGTCTACTCCGTTCTGGACGAGATGATCATGGCCGGGAACGGGATCGCCAAGTACCGCAAATCTGAACTACAGCAGCTTGAGAACATGCTACAGCGACTTACGCCTTGGCCTTCACAGGCCTCTGAGCAGACGACTCTAGTAGACGAGGGGCGCCAAACGCAGCCCCCGGATGACACGAGTCCCCAAGACACGGTGGTCTCGGCCATGGCCTCGGAACACTCACAGCACGAGAGCTACTCTTCTTCTATCCCGGGGAACATGGATGAGATGGCTTATGATAGCGGGCTGACTATGGCGCAATTACTGGATATGGCCAACTCTATTGAACAGGAAGATTCAGAGTGGATGTCTCAGACGATAGTGGAACATAGCATTTGGTAGATCAAGAAGACCTGTCAAAGTCATGACGGCGTTGTCTCCCATTTTGGAACTCTGCCGAATGTACATGTACTTGCTTTTGCTTCGAGGCTCATACTTGCCCACAAGTCCAAGTGACCTCTGATCACAGCTAATATGACCGGTAGCCAGTCCGAACTTCCTAGTTTGACATTTATCTTTCACTATCACAGGACCGAACTCCGAGGATGGGGCCTGTCGACTACGACGGACAACTCGGAGAGGAAGCCGGTCTGTTTACTGTCAACAGACATAACTGATGTAAGCCCCGTCTTCTCAGCTCTTTACAGAACCAGATATCAACTTCAAGGGATCTCTCTGAGATAGACATGATTCATGAATGATAAGACAATGCTATGTGGATAGATAATCTACAACTTTGACGTCCTGGCCTGGCGGATCTTTGCAAACTCCTCAGTGTTTCCGAGGCGCCAGCTGACGGTATCGCCCCACTTCCCTGCCTCCTTCTCCTGAGGTTCCTTCCAACGCCACCTTGGGACCGGCTGCTTGTTATCGGGAGCCTCCAAAAGGTTCTTGACCCAATCACCCACAAGCGGGATCAGCTTCGCGGCGTGACCCGAGTCACCAGACATGAGCAACACGGAGTCACTCGACTTGGGGACGTAATCGATGATGAAGTCCGAATCAGCCGTGTCAGCAAACCAGCAGATGGTCTGCTTGACAAGCGGACGGTCCTTGAGTGCCGGGAGCGTTTCCGCCAGCAGCTGCCGCACCTTGGCCTGATCGTGCGGCGGCATAAACTGGCTCTCCTCATACGCCGGCGGGAGTGAGATTCCCGTCTTGGGATCCGTGTTGACGTATCCTCCGCCCATAGGGCACAGCTTGAGCAGGTTGGTCTTCGGATCCGGCTCGAAGTAGAAACCGAGGTCGCGCGCGTAGGTGACGGGGATACCACGGAGCGCAGACGTCTCGTCGTCTGTCAGCTCGACGTGAGCGACAGACCAAGACTTGGCAACGACCTGCTTGCCGCACTCTGGAACAAGTCTCGCCGCTGCTGCGCCAGTAGCGACAATCACGAGCTTCGCCGAAATCTGACTGCCAGTCTGCGTCCTAATGCCGGTTGCCTTCCGGCCGGCACCGGTGTTCTGGTACACAATCTCCTGTACGCCACCGTGCTGTCCGAGAAAGAACTTTACGCCCCGTACCCGGGTAGCGTTGTAAAGGGCGATCAGGGCATTGCCAGAGTGGACATATCCGTCAAACTTATTAAGGTAGCCCTTCCAGCCGGAACACGGGCCTTCGCCGTACTGCCAGACATTGTAGTTGATGTCCTGGCCACCCTTGATGGGCACCACGTACTTTGCGAGAAGGGGGTGGTCTTCTGAGGCCTTCTGGAACCTGTGCAGAGTCTCGGCGGCCCGCTCAGGGGCGTTGGCCGAGACGCAGTGAAGAAACCCTACCCGGTGAAATGAGGGTGCGAAAAGAGGCGTTTGCCATGCTTTCGCAGCTTCCTGTTGCAAGTCAGAGAGGCTTTCCCTAGTAGATAAGGCAGCTCACTGGGGTTTAACTTACTATAGTGAGATTTGTGTAGAAAGGGTCTTCGTACTCAGCCCTGAAGATCTTGTTGATATCGTTGGCAGCAGAGTCCCTGGGAGGTATTTGCTCGTGCTTGTCGAAAACGGAAATGTCCGTGTAGCCAGCCAAAGACAGGTGGTAGGCCGTAGATAGACCAAAGGCACCGGCGCCCACAATGATGATTGGGTCGGATTTACTGACACCCATGATGATGGTTGGAGGCTAAGGCGGAGATTAAGGACGGGATTGTGCGAATGAAAGCACTGTTGATTCAGTATGAATACAGGGCCCTTGAGCAGCACTACTAGCCATTGAAGTATGATATCTTCAAGCAGTCGTATATGACCTTCCGTGATCTTTCCCAGGACCGGCTGGCTTCGGGCCCTTGCCCCGGCTTCGGATCCAAGATACTGGAGATACTCATGGCACTATCTCCATCATGGGGTAGTTGGTTAGCGTAGCCGCGCCGAGCGGGGTGGTGGCCGTGGTGGAATCAATGCCGTGTTACTCTGTTCACGGCCCGGCAACTCGAATTGCCTGGAACTTGTTTGCGGCACAAGAGGCGTGGCTCTATTTCTGGGCTACCAAGGCGGATGGTGAGCCGATATCTGTTCAAGAGACATCGGGAGCTGACCCGGTGGTCAACCTTCGCTTGATTGGTCAAACTGACTCGGGTGGAACTTTACCAATACGCCGGCCATCCAGCCGGTCATCTTACCGCCCAGCCACAAGCTTTCATGATTGCGTAGTAATGTTCGGCAACGAGATCAAGACGTAAAAGACGAGAGTATGGTTTGCGATAGCGATATCACATGGTTTCAAGGAACACGTTCCTGGTTTTCCTATCGCTGGTGGAACTAACGCGTGATAGTATGTACTGTGTAGGTAGTAGACTTGCAAGTATGTGACTCCCATTCTGTAAGACCAAATTACCGCTATTGTGATTCCCGTAACACTCAGTCTGCATGTTACGTCACTTCTAAAGCCCACAGGAAATGGAGCAAACCAAGGCCACCTATTCCTTCGGCGCCGCCCAGGCAATTCACCTCTGGCAAGTGGGACGATAGTTGCTTCAAGTCTCCGTACCTGACCCAATGAATCAGAGCATTTGCGTCCGGGACGATACTAAGATGCAAGGTTGGTGTTTGACAAGGGTAGCTTCGCTATTTTGCGCAATTTGCGAATTTGCGGCAGGACTCTTAATGTTCAAGAAATGGGGTGAATGTAAAATTTCTTCATTTTTTGACTATCCCTAAATTACACAATGCGCCATTTTGCATGCAACCGTGACCGCGACCCATTCGGTATCCCACACACTGCACTTATTTGTTGCTAGGGTACAGGAACTCAGTCTGAGGGAAGAACTCCTCCTTGATCAATCTGGGGCTGACGAAGCGACGCATGACGTCTGCGCTTCCTGCCTTGTCGTTGGTGCCACTGGCGCGGGCACCGCCGAAGGACTGCTGGCCGATCAGGGCAGCGGTGGTCTTACAGTCTGAGAGAGGGTTTGGAGTTAGCAAATGGATACACGTTGACGTTAGTGGTGGGGAAGGGAACATGGGTAAACTCACTGATGTAGAAGTTGCCTGCAGAGTAGCGCAGGGCATCCTCGGCCTCGCGGATGGCGCGTCTGTCGTTAGCGAAAACGGCGCCGGTCAGGGCGAAGCCGCCTCCGCTCTGGTCGACCTTCTTCAGAGTGGAGGACCACTCGGCATCGGGGTAGGTGGAGATGGCCAGGACGGGGCCGAAGATCTCCTCGTTGAAGAGGCGGTGGTCCGGAGAGTCGGCCACGTAGACGGTGGGGTTGACGTAGTATCCGTCGGAGCCGTCGTAGGTGCCGCCGACCACCAGCTTTAGGGAAGAATCCTTATTGCTCTCGTCGATAATGTTCTTGATCTTGTTGAAGGAGCGTTCGTGGATGACGGGGCCCATGAAGGCATCTAGCTTGCCGTCGGGGCTTCCAATAGTAATCTCCTCGACCTTGGACTTCAAGCTGGAGATGAACTCCTCGGCCTTAGACTCAGGGAGGTAGACGCGGGAGGTGGCGGAACACTTCTGGCCCTGGTACTCGAAGGCGCCGCGGATAGTGTGGTTGACGGCGTGCTCGATGTCAGCGGTCGGGTGGATGAGGTGGAAGTTCTTGCCGCTAGTCTCGCCGACGACACGGGGGAACTCGCGGTAGGTCTTCTTGCCGATGCCCTCGCCGATTCTGGCGTACAGGGAGCGGAAGACGTCGGAGGAGCCGACGAAGTTGAGGCCGGCGAATTCGCGGTGGTTAAGGACAACGTCAGTGACTTCCTCGGCGTCACCGGGGACGAACTGAATGACGTTGGGGGGCAGACCCGCCTCAAGGAGGATGTTGTAGAGGATCTGGCTGGCGTAGATGTTGCTGGGCGAAGGCTTCCAGACGACAACGTTGCCCATCAGCGCGGGGCCGGAAATGAGGTTACCGCCAATGGCAGTGAAGTTGAAGGGGGAGATGGCGTAGACAAAACCCTCCAGAGGACGCCATTCCAGGCGACTGAAAGTTTTTGTCAGTATCAAATTCATTGAAAATCATCGGTTGATCCACATACCTCCACATGCCGTCAGAACCACGGGTGGGCTGCTTCTCGAGAATCTCTGCCGCAAAGTTGCAGTTGAGTCTGAAGAAGTCGGCCAACTCGGCAGCCGCGTCAATCTCTCCCTGCCACATGTTCTTGCCCTGGCCGAGCATGGTCGCCGCGATGAGCTCATAGCGGTATTTGGTCACGGCGAGCTCTGCCGCCTTTTGGAAGATGGCAGCCCGGTCGACGAAGGGGGTGTTCTGCCAGCTCTCCTTTGCCTCCAGCGCCGACTCAATTGCTGACGAAACCTGCTCCTTGGATGCGAGGGGGAAGTTGGAGAACTTGGTCTTGTGCTCGGAGGGAAGAACGGTGTCGAAAGACTTGGCCGCGACTTGGGTCTGGCCGCCAAAGAAAAGGTCGCTCTTGGCGGGCAGCTGGGTGCGCAGCTTCTTGAGGGCCTCCTCGAGCTTTGCGCGCTCGGGAGAGTTCTTTGTGTATGTGGGCTGCAAAATGATCATTAGCCAATCCCTGAGCGTGCCTCCTCAGATTCGGTTTACAACTCACGTTGGGCTCGTTTCTGGGGTCGGGAAGTCTGAATGGCGCAGTCGCCTTCGTCCTTCTTTGTGTAAGAGCGACCGGGGCTGTGGTAGGGCGCAATCCTGATCTCAGAGATCCAACTGGTCTCGCAGACCTCATGACGCTGTGGACTTGCATTCTGACTGATTGTATGGGTATAAAGCTCAAAGATAGAAAATGATACACGAAGATCTCGTCTTTAGTGTCGATGGGGTGATCATGGGTGATGAACCTGTGCTTTTGATGAGGAGAGCTTGCTGATACTGCTTGAGATCATATGACAGCTTCGCAGTCTCATCGTCTTATTTGACAATGGCTGCTGCACTA